TATCTTATGTGGCAGCCCCGAGACAAACCTTTTTGCCCGAGCTCGTGCCGTATATTCCACGGATTTTACCGCCGAGTATACACACGACTCTATGAGATAGTCCGGCTGAAATGGAAAATAAGCGCGACGTAGTAATGTCGTAATTTTGTTAGAGATTAATTCGCTTATACGTCTGCATATTGAAGGATCTGCGAAAGATTAACTGTGATTCGCCTCAACTAAAAACTCACAAAATAGAGATAACGTATTCCGGTTGTAATAAAATAACTTATATTTTGAGTGATCATGTTGATGCGATACCGGAAAGTTCCCCCGCCAATCGCTTGAAAGCGCAATGTTAATTCGCGAGAAGTGAATCCCTCGGTAGATTTCGGATTTAATTCGGTCGATGACACGGTAACATCAAAGGACACACGTCGGAAAGAGACGTTGAAGCGTTACGGATTAAGAGGCTTCAAGAGGAGCTTGTGAAATCGGCTTTTTCGACGAGGCGTAATCAGGTTAGGCGTAAAATTTCACTCACGCGTACTTGTGTAAAAGCGTGATTTCTTAATTAAATAAAATTTCGCTTTTATATTTTTGTCTATTATTAGTTTTGTTTTTGCAATAATTAAACATACAATAATTAATTTAATTAAATAAAAAAATCATATAGATTTATTCTAATTGGTTCAAATTCATAATATCGTAGTAATTATTAGTGCTCGAACGTTGCAGAAATTAAACGTCATTAATTTAAGTCATCAATTTAAAACATTAAAGCTGAATATTTTTCAATATTAATCAGTGCGTTATAAATACGCAGATACTTTTGTTTCTTTCTGGAAGTTTGGAGGATATTATTTCTAGTGAAAATATTTCGCAATATGGGGTTGCTCAGACATAACCATTACGTTTTTTTTTTTTACATTGCACGTAGAGGAAGAAGGATTCGTTGTAAATTTAACGAATTACATATTGGACGAGGGAGTTCGTCGCACCAGCTGGCGTAATTACAACAGCAGCGTCGCGTTACCAGTGACGAATTAATTCGCATGCCGGATGCATTACTCTTCGCGCATTTAGCTCCACGCGAGGTAATTCGAGCGACCATGATTAAATTGAAATTACGTTTCGATCCGTTGAAATCTGCAGACCGCTACTAATTACGAATACGACTGATCCAGACTACATTTAATCTTGTCGATTCGCTAAAAACTTTCGACATAAGAGCGAGCGATCGTTGCCGGATTGTCGAGAATTTTTTTGCCTTGAAAACCGCAAAAAATTCTGAGGAGTTACAAATGATGAAGCACGTCGCCACTTTCCGAAGCTTAATCGTCAAAGGGAAGAATCTACCGACGCGAAATTTGAATCTATATAACTACTTCTCGAACACACACATAAACTAGAGTCATAGGTAGATCGATATTCATAGTTGGTTCTACTTCAATATTTGAAATCTGTTATTCCCTGTTCCTATTCTCTATTCCTTTGATTGCGTGAAGTCCCTAACAATGTAGAATTGTCCATTTGGCAGTTATGTATAACATCGATCAATCAATTTCATGATTGGTCATTTGCGATGACCAATCGGAATATGTAACACCGGTCCACTTCTCTGACTAATTATTCAGGGGTGCTCTCAATTCAGTGACACAAGTCGACAAACACTATTCTATCTTTCTTGGTGTTCAATGAGATCAAAGATATAGAAGATCACTTGTATTGACTTGTATCACCAAATGAAGAGCACTCCATGATTCTAATATAAATTAATGAGTTTAGGATTCACGGAAATTGCAATTAAAGTCTACCTATTCACAAACTATTTTTTTATTAAATTTTTCACTTTCGAACGTGATCCGTTCGATGGAAATCTACGATGAGAAAACTCCGCGAAAGCTCCCCAAATATTCCCTGTTCTCCACCGGTGCAATTCAATTTCGTGACGCAGCAATAGTATTGAGGCACAGTCGCGAAATGTCACGTATCGGGGTGGCGCCGATAGAAATGCCGCGAATAATGCAAAATAAATCGCACGGCGCCGTGCATAACATTATTTACCGTGTGACTCATGCGGAGAAGCGCACCGGTGCAATGTCGATCTCATACTCCTGTACGAAAACACATATTCGACAAGGCGATATCGTCGGATATGCAATCAGTACTCTCACGGCAACGCCAGCATGCAATTTCGTACGTGCTCGCTGGAGGATCGATGGATCGCGCGGATCGCGCTCAAGGAATCCGACTGATTGCACGAATGCTTGCGCGTTCCTTTTCTTTCTCTTCCTATCTGTTTCCATCTTTTGCCACATTTTTTCTCTCCCTTTCTTTCTTTCTTTCACGATTATTCTTTTTCTCTTCCTTCGAAAAAGGGAGAGCTTTTTTACGGCAGTAACAATTTTCAATTCGGACGAGAGCTTCCGTATCGTCCTTTCGCTGTTGCGTTCGCACGAGTGCATTCGCGCATCGGATTACATGCAGCGGACGGAATTCGCAACTGTCATGGAGAGTTCGCGGCGAGTCTCGCTTTGAATACGCGGCGTCGCGCCGCGGTAACGAGCCAATCAGAACTTCAAACAAAACGAGTTTCTGCTTTCCAGCCGAACATTCGCGACGTATATTTCCCGGAGGCAGTTTCTCATTCCGCAGTTTACGATGTCGGATGTTGATTTAAAAAATACAACCGAACGGTTTTATACTCTCGTGGGATTTATTACATATATTATTACAAACTACATACACAGAAAGCAATATCGTACCTATTTGAATTCGTATTGCATTAACGGAATTCGCGATCGTGCAATAGACATTACGAAGTGAAACTTGAACTGAATTTTAAAACTAGTTTTCCGTATTAAACGTTCGAGGATCGATAAGAGGCACAAAGGGATTTGGCTGATGATATCGAAGACAATGCAAATGTCCTGCAATTAAAGCGGCGACGGTAGCAAAGAGGGATTGGTCTAACTACTTCCAGTTACCGATACTGCAAATTTGTTTCAGAAAAAGAAAGATGATGAGACACTTGGATTAAAAGCTCTACTAGGATTAAGAGTATTTTAGAGGAGTCTTATTGTGAGATTATCATGATTTAGGCATCATCGACGTCTAATTTAACTCTAGACTATGTCGCACGATAATCCTCGAAATAAGCTTCTGCTTGAAATCACATCGACAGCGACCAATCAATCGGAGGATCACTTGTCTGTCGAGCGTGTAAACCTTCGTCTACCTAAATCTCTCGACTGCCAAGGAACGACGAACATTGCGAGCTCTTCGGGAGTTTACGAGATTACATGTAGATCCCCTTCAAACCTTTGTTCAATGACCAACTATAAACGCAAAATAGAAGCTTTACTAAATTACTGCGTCATTAAACAATCATATGAAGATATAAGCAGTTTTAATTAACATTAGAATTGCCGATGATATCTCGCTGAAACAAAGCCAAAATAGTAACATGGGCTACTTTAGTGTTGGCTGAGTCCAAGGAGAAATTTTTAATGATGTTTACGTACCAGATAAATTAATATTTTAAACGTTTTGTACAGTCCAATTATAAATGTTTACGTATCTAAGTCGCTAAAGATATATTTACGAATTGTTCTTAAAGAATTTAAAACGTCTGGATCTATTCGGTCGCGACAAATATTCCAACAAACAATACAACGTTTACCATTTCGTTTAGCATTTCGCAAGTGGGTTTTCGGTTTTCCTTGCTGTCTTTCATTCAGTTCATGTGGAACCCATTTTCCCATCTTCTGGATCTTTTCCATGGATTTCAAACGTATGGAGACGGCTTCTAGTGTCACATTCAATTGATCCGCGAGTTGTTGTTGAGTTTGAGCGTCATCCTCATCCAACAATGCTTGCAATTCGCTGTCTTCAAATTTTTTCGATGGTTTTCCACGTTCTTCGTTTCTCACGTCAAAATCGCCACTTTTGAATTT